GCTGGCAGATCTGAGGCCCGGGCAGGGATGCGTCACCCCGACCCCTGTCACCACCCCCAGCAGCAGCAGCCCGGCCCCTAGGTCCTGCAGACGGGGACAGCTACGCTCTGGGTCCCCAAGCAAGTGGGCTTTGAACAAATCGCACACTGCAGGATCCCCTTTCAAAGAGCCTTCTAGAAGAGACAAAACCGTAGAAACAGAAAGAGTGGTCCAGGGTGCCCTGGGGCTGCAGGCCTGTGCGGCTGAGGGACGGGAAGGTGGCAAAGGGACAGCCCTGGTGACTCCACTGCAGGGTCACGGCTGATGGCGTGTGCATGCCCTCGGGGGTGCCCCGGAGCTGTGTCCAGGGCTGAGGCCGCCGCTGGGCTCCAGTCTGGTCCCAGACTGAACCCGAGCTCTGCTTTTGCTCCGCAGAGCCCACCACATTTAAACCCTGGCTTTTGTCTTGTTGCACTGTGCTGCCGACCTCAGCTACCAGGGAGCGGTGTCGCCCGAGAGTATTTCAGTGCCTGCTGCTGGCCCTGCAGCCAGGGAGAGGCTAAGCAGGGTCTGGGGCTGGGGGTAGGTGGGCAGGGAACACGTAAAAGAGTCCCGAGCCTTCTAGGCTGAGGAGTGCAGCAGGATTTGCCCGGTGACTTGGGCCTTGTCTGAGTGGCCTCAGGCTCAGACTTCTGGCCCTGCTGACGGACTCCGGGGGAAGCAGGCGTGGCCATGCCCAAGCCACTGTACACGGCATCCCATGGGTGCTGGGTCTTCCCGATGTATTCACAGCCCAGTCCCCACATGACGAAGACTCTGATTTTAAGGGTATGGAGGAAATTCGCTCAGATATTCCCTCCTCTGGTGGCCAATAGTGTAACCCAGAGCCGGCCATCACCAACTGATTCCTCCCAGGCAAGCACCTTGGCTGGGGCAGACTCTGCATTGGGACCGGCTTGGAGGCATTTTTGGTTCGGAGCCACAATGCAAACACAAAACACAGTGAACATCTGAATTTTAAAATCTTACTAGGAGCCGGGCATGGTGGCACACACCTGTTATCCGAGCATTTAAGAGGCTGAGGCAGGAGGATCCTTGTGAGTTCGAGACCAGCCTGAGCTACAAAGTGAGCTCAAGCCCAGCCTGAACTGCATAGCAAGACGCTGTCTCAAAAAGACAACAGATAAAAATAAAACCTTAGTACAGTAACAGACATTGCCACGAAGCCCCTCAAAATCCTCTCAGTCACTTCCGACCCTCTCGTCCCACTGTCCTGGCGCTGTCTGAAGCAGCTCTGGGGTCCTCTTTTGTGAGTGTCTTCAGCTGCAAAATCACAGATGCCCCATGTCCTGAATCAGAGTCCTAGGTGGAAATTCTAACTCTGGAGAGAGCCAGAGGTCACACCGTGCCGGGTCTGGTGAATGAGGCGGGGTGGACGGGGCGTCCTGGTTTTAGGCGGCCAGCCCTTGGCAACCACACACTGTGGGAGATGGGGTTCACGGTCGTCTTTCCCTGTGGCGCATTGTTTTAAAAACTTAAACGCTGATCTCGCCGTTCCTCACACCCTGCACTTGGGCAGCCTGCAAAGACTAAGTTAGGGGAAACGAACTTAGCTGAGTTTGGCTGAGCTGTACAACTCTTGCGTCTCTCAGGGACGCTGGGGCCACTTATTCCCTGCGCTGCTCTGACTGAGGGTTCGCTTAATAACCCACTCACACCGTTGGGCTCCCCAAAGACGGTGCCCAGCTGAAGCCGAATTGCTTTCTTGCTTTAAACGGTGTTTTCGGACAGATCCTCCATCTTGCATTAGGAGCAAATTGACAGATAAGTCCAGTTCGTCCCTGCACCTGGGCTCTGCGCTTTGAACGAATTGGAAGTAAATGAGCCAGCGGCCGGTGGCCGGGATGATTGCTCTGTGACCCTGAGAGCCATCCCGGGGAGGGCACTGACCTGGCCCGGCTGCCCTCGGAGACGGTGTCTACCTGGCGGCCACTGTGTCCCCTGTGTCCCTGCTGCTGCCTGGTGCTCAGGCAGGAACATGGCAGGAGAGAGCCTGGCTTTGGACCCCACATGACTGACCACGATGCAAGGTCAGCGCCCGAGTGGCCACGCTGGGCCCCTTGCTGGTTACTCGGACAGGACGGCTATCTTCTGTGCTGCGGAGACCCTTGCGAGACTCCCACTGCAGACCATTACTGGGCTGCTTCTGGTAGATTAGAGGCCATCGTGGTCCCATCACAAGGCACCCGAGACGCGGCAGGGAGACTCACCTGCTCCCTAAACTGCCAATCAGGCCTGCCAACAGGAGTGGCACAGGCTTCAACCAATTAGAGCAGACCAGAGGGTAACACCGACCAATGAGACAGGAGCTGTGAGGCCGTGGGTGGGCGTGACCCAGCAGAAGTCTCCACCCGCTGGGTCAGAGGCAGGGGATCCAGGTTCCCAGGATAAAAGGAGCTGCGGGCTGGGGACAGCGGGGGGCCAGGGAGCTGGGGCAGAGCCTCATGGGTGTGTGGGGAACAGCATCTGCTGGAGGAACAGCAGAGACTCCCCAGCCCGTACGGGAGGGAAACGCAGGCCAGGCAGAGAGGCAGGGCAGCTGACCAGGGTGGGCGTGGCAATGCTGCCCAAAGGGTGCACAGGGACATTCCCTATGTCCCCGGAGTGGGGGCAGCCGAGCCCTCCTCACAGCCCCTGTGACCCCTGCCCAAGCGGGAAGAGATGCCGGCAGCGAGGAAGAGGGCTTCCCCCTGTCAGTGCAGCTCTGACAGCTGAGACACCTCTGAAGGCCAGAGGGTCACGCAAGGGACATTGTGCTCTCCCTGTCTCTGTCTCTCTGGTCACAAAGGGCAACATTTGCAGAAGACAGAAGGGGCAGTGTCCACACTGTGTGCTGGGGCACAGGGGACCTGGGACAGCCTGTGTGGAAGTGGTCAGCACCAGCCTCTTCCCAGCGTTCTGCCTCTGTAGCTCCGTGGCTCCATGGTCCCGTGGCTCTGTGACATGACTTAAAATGACCCTGGCCGAGCGGTGATAGGGCTGGGCGCGACCCTGGAGCCACTGGGCAGGAAGGAGCCGGACATGTGCAGGGGTTACCTGGCTTCGGGGGTCAGAGGTGCTGGGTTGGAGGCCCCTGACAGGAGCCCTGCCAGGACCTCGGGCAGCCTCACCCTGCACCCCGGAAATCGAGCTTCTGGGAGCCTGTGGGGCCCTCACTCCATGGCAGTCCCCGATTGGGGGGGACACAGCAGCCAGAGGGGTGAGCCAGCCTGGCCTCCTCCCAGAAGCGCCCCTGTAGCTCCCTCCACCCCCTCCCCAGGACGCAGGCTCTGCTGCTTTCTGGGTTTCTCTCGAAGGTGACCTTGGTCTTCCCAGCACTGTCCCTGGAGCCAGATCCCTGTCCACACCACTGCTACCCTGGGGACGTCCCCCATGGCCCCACTGCCCTCCAGCTGCAAAGCCCTGTGGGTGTCTCTGATCCTGCACACTCCTGCGGGCAGCCTCACAGAAGGCTCCTCGTGAGGCCGGGCGCTGGCCCCTTACCCAGTGTCCATGCAGCCCTGGCCCCTGGGAGGGCAGAGCCACGGCACTGTGGCCTCTCCTGACCTTGGTGCCAGTGCAGACCCCGCTCCCCACTTAGTGAGAGCTCCTAGTCCTGGGAAGAGCACAGTGCCCCCAGACAGGGACCCGGGCAGCACCCAGAGAGCACAGGGCAGGACCCGGGGCCAGGTGTGCGTCTCCCAGCTACCAGCCCTCCGTGGGCTCTGGACCGGAGCCCAGACACCGAGTGTGCAGAGGCCCCCGTGAGGCACCGTGGGAGAACCCACTGAGCTCCCCGCTGCCGTGAGAGGCGAAAGCCGGGCCAGCTGGGCCCCTGCAGGGCTCCTGGATGCTGGACTCGAGCGGGTGGGCAGCGGACAGGTGGGGTCGGAGACCGAGCTGATCGGGCCAGGCTGTTGCTGGGGTCCCAAGCACAGCGTCTGCATAAACCACACTGACCACGTCCACGCTGAGCAGCCGAGCCAGGGCAGTGCCTGGGCTTCTTTCGAGGACACAGATTGGGGTGAAAGGTGAGGTCACAGAAGGAAGGGACACACGCCCATTCCCGCAGACAAGGAATGCCCCTTACTCCTGGTACCACTCCACTCCCTCTGGGCCACTGCAAGCCCTGACAGGTGATCCCACGTCACCAATTTACCTGAGAAGGGTTAGTGTCCTGGGGACGGGCGCCTGGAGGACCAGAGCATCGGAAGCAGGCCTGGAGACAGTTCTATTTCAGGGGCCCCAGCCAGTGTAACAGTCCAGAGCTCACACCGGCCCTGGGCCTCAGTTTCCCCATACATGGGTCTGCTTCGTGGGTTCCCCAGGCCGGGTGCATGGGCTCTGTGCGTCCACCTGTCCGCCTGCAGAGGCCAGGGTAGGGCCCTGTCTGCCCAGCCAGCTAAACCCTCACTTCCATCCCCAGGAAGCCCAGGCCCAGGCCCCAACCCCCGTGGACCCTCCTGTGGCCTCTCCGGCCTGGCCTGCCCCAGACCTGGCGTGTGAAGGGAGTTGAGTGTGCTTCTCCGTCTCTCAGTGTGACACTTCTCCAATTCGTCCAGAGTTCCCAGGGACAGTGCTCTTGGTCCTCTGGTCCCCGAGGGCCACCCCAGCCACTGCCTCTCATCTCTGCCTCCCACCATCATGGTGACCGGGGGTCACATCGGGCCCACCCAGGTCATCCAGGCCCCTGTGCCCCTCACAGCCCTCATGGTTTCCCTTTGGGGCAGTGGAGGGGGCTTCAGGAAGCACCTAAGGCGCCCAGCTCGGAGCCTGTGGTTTGCAGCCCAACCCACCGGGTCATCCCTTCTGCCTGGAAGAGTGACCGCCCGGCCATTAGAGCGGAGAGGACGATGGACTCGGGGCTCAGGGCTGCTGTGTGAACCAGGCTGCCTGGCCAGGGCCTTGGGGGGCCCCGGGAACTGACAGGTGCTGCGGGACTGGAGTCCCGTTACGCTGTCCCTGTGTCTGTCCCCGTGCAGGACACCGAGATCCTCAACACGGCTGTCCTCACGGGCAAGACGGTGGCCACGCCGGTGCGGGTGGTGTCGGTGGAGGAGAATGGGGCGGTGAGCGACATCTCGGAGCAGGTGGAGTGCACGTCTGCAGAGGAGGACGTCATCAAGGTAAGCGGCTGAGGACGGGGACAGGACGGTCCTTCAGAGCCTCCATGCTGGACTGTACCAGGCTAGCTGCTTCTGTTTTCTCCTCCCTTCCTCTGTCTCTCCCTCCCGCCCTGCTGCCTCCGCGTCCCAGAGAGCTGGGTTGACAGGCTGGGGACACCATGCGGGCTTCACACATTGTTGGGGCGGGATGCCACTCAAAGGATGTAACCCCGAGCTGGGCATGAACCACCCTACTGTGAAAGGGTGACCCTGGTGCCAGGAACCTGCCCAGAAGTAAGGAATCCACCTCCGGCCTACCAGAGCCCGGAGGGAAACAAGATCTAGAAACAAGCTCACAGGGCAGTGCACAGCGCCCCTCAGAACTCGGAAGTGAGCTGGACACGGAGCCCATTGCTAATATTCCCAGGAGCGGGAAACGGCCTCCTGGGAGTACAGAGGAGCCCCCAGCTGTGGGCAGAGCAGGTGGGACCTGAGCCAGCAGGAGCCGGGGTGTGGGGCATGGCTGGCACACAGGGGCACCGTCCCGGATGACGGGGTGGCTCTGGACTGATGGGCCAAGGGTGCCACAGAGCTGGGCAGGTGCAGGTTGGCTCGCCATGGGGGAACCAGGGGTCCCACACAGTTAGGGCCACACAGACACCTGCTGGTTCGCATCTGGGGTTTCCATTTCTGGTTGGTCAGGAACCCGAAGGCTGGAATGCCAGCTGGGGACTCAGCCGTCACCACTTCGTGGGTGCTGGGAGGGAACACAGAGCCAGGGGTCAGCAGAGCAGCGTCTCCCCCGACACACAGCCTGGGCCAGCAGCACAGAATTCTGGGTGGCAGAGGGTGAGATGCATGGGCATGGAGCCCCTGGAGCAGGAGGAGACCAGACTTATGCCTCAGACAGCGCCATGGTGCAAGCTGGGGCAGCCGGAGTCCCCAGACGGGGACCTCTGCTTAGACAGGACAGTAGGGTGGACACTGTCCAGTGAGAGTCCTGCTAGAAGAGAGTCTTCCAGTAGAAGAGCCGCTCACTTGGTGGGGGCTGATGATTAATGTGTCCCAAGACCTCCGCAGCCGTCTGTGCCGCCTTCAGGGGCGGCAGGGACAGTGGCGCTGCCAGGCGTGACAAATTTGCACCTCCGCCGTCCTCCTCCGTTATTTATAAATTTCTGCAGAGGCCGCGCTCCCACCCGCCCGTCGGGCTGGGAAACCTAATAAATAGGAGAAGTCAATGGTCTGTGAATGGCAGCCTTGATTAAAGTGATTGCTGATCGCACTCGGCTCGGCTGTTATGCTGATGCCCTCCCAGCCCGCCGGCGTTTACACCCTAACAAGGAGTCAGGGACGAGGCTGAAATTGCTTTCCAGGCCAACTGGCCCAGTGACGGTTTTGCACACCCTGGACTGAGCTCAGAAGACCATCCCACATCCCACCCCGGCGCCCCCAGCAGACCGAGGGAATTCTCAAAGCCCGGCCTCGCCGGCTGCCCCTGCAGCAGAGGCGTGAGATGGAGACGGCCCGGTCCCACGTGGGCCATCCGTGGGCCCACAAGTGGGGAAGGAGGGTGACCCATCACCAGAGCTCAGTGCCGCTATCGTTAGGCTGAGGCCACAGAGCCACGGAAGGAAGCCGGCTCCATCCAGAGCACCGGACCTAGCAGGGGATAGATAAGCACCTCAGCCATCGGAGCTCGGGTGGAGAGTGCGACGGAAGTGACCCGTCAGGCTGCACTGTGTGGTGTGCGTCCCCAGTGGCGCTGCTGTCCATGTGCTCCCCAGGAGCCGGGGACCGAACAGCTGTGAGGAACTGCCCAAGGGCTTCGGGGAGCTTTCGAATTAATTTCGTACAAAGTTTCTGCTGCTTTTGTCTCCTCCGTGTCTCACTGCCAAGTCCAGATCTGAAAGGATCTACCCATCTACCCAGCTGTCCACCTGTCCATCTGACTGCCCTAGCATCCTCCCATCATCTATCCATCTGTCCATCTGTCCATCCATCCATCCATCCACATCCATCCATCCATCCACTCATCTATCCGTCCATCCATCCACCTGTCCAAAAGGATGGAGGGTTGGAGAGATAGACATCTCTCCAACCCTCCATCCTTGGGTTTATCCATCCGCCCACCCATCCATTTCTCCATCCTTTCATCCCTCTTTCTATCCACCCATCTGTCCATCGCTTGGACCATCTGTCTACCTGTCCATCCATCCACCTCCTGTCTGTCTGCCCACCCACCTGTTCATCCACCCGATGCCCACCTTGCTGAGCGCCCGCTCTGTGAGCAGCTGTGTACGGAACCAGGAGTTCTGAAGATGAATGTGATGGGGTTTTGCCTTCAAAATGTTGCATTTTTCAGAAGCGACACGGACATGTGGGGCCAATTTAAACCGAATCCCGTGAACTTGGGTACACAAGATAGATGACACTGTCTCCCTGTAACTGAACGTGGCTTCTGCTTTTGGTTTCCTGTTCATTAGGGCGATGGAAACAGAGCCCTGGTCTAATTCCCAGGGTGCGTAGCTGTCACCGAGGCCCCGGGAGGTGGACGGATGCTCTCGTCCTCTGTCACAGTCCTGCAGGGACACCCAACATCAGCCACACACGTGGCTCCCTCCCACTGCCACCCACCATGTCCCTCAGCCCCGTGCCGCCTGCGGAGACCCAGGCGTCTCCCTGCGGCCCCCTGTCCAGCCCAGGAGCCATCACCTCCGGATGGACAGGATTGGAGCCCAAAAGCCAGATGCTTGAGGTGTTTCCTTGGTTTACTCCGTGCGTCTGATCTCTCTCTGGTCAGGATTGCCCTCTTCCTAAAGAAACGACCCCCGAAACACGGGGAAAGGAACAGAGGGACGATCCTGCTGTTCACACACTGAACACAAAAACACACACAGAGACACCATCCCGGGCGGGCATCAGGGAGGCGCGGCCCAGGCGTTTCCTGCTTTCTGTCCAGTTGGGGCGACCCTCCCCTGAGGGACAGGAGCTGCAGACGTCCTCGGCCCGCACCCTGCAGCTGGACAGGCTCGGTGCTCTCCATGAAGCTCGAGAAGCCCTGGCCAGAGCAGCGGGCTCCCTCCGATGCTCCCCTTCCTGCTGGCTTCTCCCTCTCTTCTGCCTCAGTCTGCTCCTTCCCCCTCACCCCTGCTTCCAGAATGGCTTCAGAGTTAAACCAATTGCACCCTTTTCTCGGGCTCCGCACTGGGAGGAACTTGGATTGAGCACTGTTCCAAACAAGCGGCTGGCGGTGTGGCTCGGTGGGAGCAGTCGCCCAGCACGCAAGGCCCTGGGTTCTCTCCCGGCACCCCAAAGACAGAAAAGACTGTCTAGGGCCCCGTGACTTCTCCCCTCTGCCCATCTCTGCAGGTCTCTGGCCACTGTGACTACGTCTTTGTCAACGGCAAAGAGATAAAGGGCCAGGTGGACGCGGTGGTGAACTTCACGTACCAGGACCTGAGCGCCCTGCTGAAGATCACCGTGTGGGCACCGCGGCTGCCCCTGCAGATCGACGTCTCCGACACAGAGCTCAGCCAGATTAAGGGGTGGCGGGTGCCCATTGTGGCCGGCAAGAGGTGAGCCCGGGGGAGGCTGCGTCCTGGAGCAGTGACAGCCGCCTGCCCTCCAGTGAGGGCACCACAGGACTCAGAACGTGAGGGGCCCCCGGAGCAGCTCACCCATCACTGGTCCGGGCAGCAGCGTTTGCAGGGGCTGAGGCCCGGGGACGCTGTGCCTCTGGGTGTCCCCGCAGGAGTCTGGGTCCCCGTCCCCGAGCGCTGGCCCTGCTGGCCCCTTACCCCCTGGGGTGGGTGCCAGGGTCCTGCTTTTTCCTAGAGCTCTGTGTCCTGCATCGCCCGGGCTGTTTCCCTCCGTGGCCCAGGCACCCGGGCTTCATTCTGAAAACCAACGGGAGCAGGCTTGGAGAAGGGGGCCCGGGTGGTGAGGTGCAGGATCCACGTCCACGGGGGCACTTGAGAGCCCCAGGGTTTCATGTGCACGACAGTGTGGGCTGCACAAGCCACCACCGCACCCCGTGCCTCAGTTTCCCCAGCCGGGACGATTGAGCCCCAGCTCTCCGCACTCCCTGCAGGCCCGCACAGGACAGCGAGGACGAGGAGGACGAGGAGCGGCGGGGCCGCGGCTGTGCGCTGCAGTTCCAGCGAGCCACCGTGCGCGTCCTGGCGCAGTTCGTGGCCGAGGCTGCCGGGCACTGGGCCCAGCCCAGACACCTGCTCGGCCCTGACTGGCAGTTCGACGTCACGCACCTGGTGGCCAACTTCATGAAGCTGGAGGCGCCCCATGTGGCCGTGCTGCAGGAGAACGGCGTCCTGGCCGGGAGGGAGGTTGGCATGACGACCGTGCAGGTAGGAGCCAGGCCACTCCGCTGGCCCCACTGTTTATTCACTCAACAAACACTCTGCACATCTTATATGTGGCTCAAAGGAATGGGTCCAGTGGCAAGGTTTCAGCACACGTAGAGGTGGCCTTTTCCTCAACACCCAAGTCCCTCCAGCTGAGGGGCCCCCTCTGGGCCCTTATACCATGTGGACGTCTCAGGCCTGATCCTGGGCTTGTGAGGGGAGGTGGGAACAGTGTTTCCGCTGGAGGCCTGGACTCCTCCCACTCTGGTCTCCACTTGTGACTCAGAGAATGCAATTCCAGCCGCAGGGTCTGTTTGCAGCTTCTCATGAATCCCAACACCAGGTTCACCATGCACAGTAAGCCAGGTTGTGCACTGCACCCCAGCGCCCCAGCTAGACTGAGGTTCACCCCTTCTAAAGACATCACAGATCATAGTGTTTATTTGTAAAGTCACCAGGGGTGGCTGATTCTCCTAAAGACCCAGAATAGGTTGGGGTTCGTAGTGACATAGGCGTGTGGTCCCCTCGGCCTGGGACATAAACCCCAAGGCTGTCTGTGAGCAAAGTTCCAAGGCCTGAGTGAGGTGTGACCTGGTCTCACTCTATCCTTCCACCCCAGGTCCTCTCCCCGCTGTCCGACTCCATCCTGGCGGAGAAAACGGTCACCGTGCTGGACGACAAGGTGTCGGTCACCGAGCTGGCTGTCCAGCTGGTGGCCGGGCTGTCAGTCGCCCTCCACCCCTACGTGGAGCACAGCCGGGCCATCGCTGCCGTGGCCACAGCTGAGGAGCTGCTTCGCACCCCCAAACAGGTAGGGCCACGCCCGGGGGAGGCCAGGCGGGGCAGCCGGGGTCCCCGGACCCAGCCCCCTCACCCCAGGACGGGTGGTCCCACTGCCTCGGTCCATCGCTGTCCCCGCAGGAGTGGGAGAGGCCAGGCCGAGGCTTCCCCGGAACTCTTGGTGACCCAGAGCCACCCGGTCCCCTCCCCAGCCCTCCCTGAGCGTCCCAGGGTCCTGCGGAGGCCGCTGGCCCGCCCTGCATGGCCACGACCTGCTGACCACCGCCTCCGCCCGCAGCCGGCTTCGCCCCCTCCTCCTCTTCCCTTCCCGCCGTCCTTCTTCGGTGGTCCTGGGGCGGAAGGCCAGGCCTCCAGGCAGATACAGCCCTGTCCTTTGTCCATTTTCCCTTTTGAGACAGGTCTCCCAAAATGACCCCGATGCCCAGTCTGGGCTTGAACCTGTGCTCCTCCTGCCTCAGCCTCCCCAATTGCTGGGATTCCAAGCGTGGGCTGCCACACCCGGCTCAACAGCCTTCCGTACTCGTCCTCCAAGGGCACCCCCGAGGCTCGAGGCCGGGGTGGGGGCCAGGACTCCCACACAGGGGCGCCTGGCACCCCGCACGGGTAGCCGGTGGGCAGCACTTTGTGCTTCCCCTCGGCTGTAAGGATGACTCTTGGGAGGCTGAAGCAGGAGGATTGCGGGTTCCAGCCCAGCCTGCAGGACTTCGTGACTCAGCGACACCTTGTCTGAAGACAAAAGCTTAAAGGGAGGCCGGGCTGGCGCTCAGGGGGCCGGGCCAGGGTTTGATCCTTAAAAAAGAAGACACCAGTGTGAGGACCCCGTGCTGAGGGTCCCACGCTGTCCCCTGTGCCCAGGCCGTAGGGATGGGTGGGGCACCGGGGGGCCGGGGCAGGCAGGGCTCATGACAGCAAGGCCCTGACCACAGTGGGCAGCCGTGCTGGCCCCTGTCTGCGTGCTCCAGAGGACGATGGTCCTGGAGGCAGGGCACAAGGGGCTGGACAGAGCAGCAGTCTCCAAGGCACCTCAGCCAGAGTGAGCCTGTGTTCCTGGAGATGGAGGATGCTAAGGGGTGGACACAGAGGACCAAAGTGCGGTGGTGGGAGAGCATGGGTCAGCAGTGCAGGCTGGGGACCCACATGCCCTCTTGCCCCTGCAGAGGGCTATGTGAGCTGCAGCAGTGGTGCTCAGCACCCGCGGTGTATCGGGCAGTGACTGCTGCATAACAAGTGTCCCCGATTGTGCAGCTTCAGACCACACTGAGCTTTGACGCTCAGGTCAGAGGAGCCCAACATGTGACCAGACCACTTTTTAGAGCCTTGCTCTGTGCACCTGGCCCTGCCCTGTTGTGGAGTGGCTGTGGAGTGGGAGCCTCTGGAAGCTGCCCACTGTGGCCCCATTCCCACTCCAGCCTCCCCCATCACCCATGGCACTGGCCTGGTGGCCTCCAACTTCCTGTTGTGCCTCCTGTGCCTCGGTGGTCCCTGTGGTGAGTGGGAGTCGCCCCCCCCCAGACCACAGCACTTTTGAGGGACATCGTCCTCACCCTCACCTCACTGCGTGCCCAGCCTCGAGCCCAGCAGATGGCCCCGCCCGGCACACACACCGTGCTCGGCTGTCCCGGGACACAGAAGCCCGAGCAGAGTTTTCTGGTTTAGAAAGCACAGACAGAGGGGAGTAGAGGACGGCGGGGGGCATCCACGTTGCACCTCTGTCTCCATCAGCGGGTGGTCAGCAGGGTCAGTGCCGGGCAGGGCTTCCCGGGGTCATCCTGGCCAGCAGGGCCGCTCGGGCTTCTCACCGAGGTAGGGATGCACTCGTGGGCTGGCGACCGCCGGTCTCGGGGTCCCAGGAGGGCCAGCTGGGCAGCAGTCTTGCAGCGGGGCAGCACGTGATGGGTCCAGGAAGCCCACGGCCATCCCAGCCTCTGCCCTCCTCTGCCCCTCCGAGTCCCTTCCCGGTAGCTTCCTCCTCCATCCGGAGGGAGTGAGGACAGTTAGTTCCCGGGAAAGGCAGCTTCAGGCCCTGCTCACTCGGGTTAGCGGTGTCTCAGCTCAGCCTCTGAGCACGGTCACTGCTCCCGATGTCTCCCTCCCTGAAACACCAAGGCTGAGGATGCCAGGCGACTGTGCGGGTGCCCCCAGAGCCGGGCCCTTCCGGAGAGGCCGAGGGTGGAGAAATGATCTGGGGGGGCTGCCTGGCAGTGGGGCAGGGTCTGGGCACAGAAAGGGCCTAGTGGGACTCGTCCTCCCTGCAGATGGAGACAAGGGCAGGAGCCTCAGCCGGGTCTCAGCTGTGGCTCCCCAAGCTGAGCCTGAGGCGAGGGCTCCAGCACGGTGTGGGCTGCCCGGGCAGGGTCGGGCGGGGGATAGGATGGGGGGCTGGGTCACTGGCTGGGCCGCAGGGGGACAGAGGCAGCTCAGGCTGCTCCGGGGGGACCAGAGCCAGCTCGGCCCAGGCTGGAGGGCTGGCTGTGCCTGAGGAGGGGGCAGCAGGCATTAGGGCGATGGTTCTTCCTCAGCTGCACTGAAGGGCGCTCCTGGAGAGTGCTGATTCCTAGGCCCCCGGCAAAAAGAGAAAGTGTTGGCCTGCACCGTCAGATGTGTAGGAGCTCACGGAAGATGCTACCCTATTACACTGAGATCAACAGTGATGCAAAAGCCCGGTGTGCCCAGCAGTGGGGTTCTTGGAAAATGATTGGCTCAGGGGTTGTGGCTGACTTCCTGTTGGGGGCGGGGTCTGGCAGGGAGAGGCGTGGCCTGGAGGGCTCCTCCCCCTGCCGGCTCCTCCCCCCTCTCTGTGCCCCATGCCGTGAGCAGCTCTGCTCCGCCAGGCCCTTCCTCCGGGTCTTGCTGCTGCGGCGGAGCCCGCTGACCACAGATCACAGCAAACTTCTCCTCCTCAAGTCGCGTGTCTGGGGTTGTGTCTCAGTGAGGAGGAAGCCTTAAGTCAACCCCGTGCTCAGATTTCGGTAAAAATCTCCCTCCCTCCTCAGAGCCACTATGTGGCAGTAGGAGCTTCTATTCCAAGCAAGAAAGACGCAGCCTGGCTGGCCTAAACACCAAGCAGAGCCTCTCAGTCCCCATCATCTGCACCTGCATCAGGTGCAGCTGGATCCAGGTGCCCACGCGGTGCCATTCCTTTGTGGCTCCATAATTCAGGGCTTTGGAGACTCACTGTGGCTTCCTGTCTTCCCTCCCTCTGTCCATTCCTCCCGAGCTCCATGCTCTGCTTTTCCTCCTCGCTGTGTTATTTCCTGGGCTGCTGCCCTCGCCCATTTCTTTGGTCTCCTGTGGTCTGGCCCTCAGGCCGCTCCCTTCCTGCGTGAGTCCCTCCTGACCCATGTGGACGCTGCCCACCTGGTGGGGGAGAGGCCTGGGTCCACCACGCTCGTCCACCGAGTGCTCCCCACGCAGCCTGCTGTGGTTTTCCGTGTGTGCCCGAGCGGGGCCAGCTGTGTCCTTCGGGAGTGCGTGACATCAGCCTGAGGTCAAGTGTGCGGTTACCTCTGGGGCACCGCTGTACCCCAGGCCCACCCAGGCCATGCAGCATGGCCGCTCCACGTGGCCTCCAGGAGGGGAGTTCCTTGCTGCATCTGTGGCTGCAGCTGCAGGGCCGAAGACAGACAGATCTGTGGTGCAAGACGCAGGGCAGGGAGGACACTGCAGGGTCACTGCCATCCTGTGCCGGGCTGAGCACTGGGCCCTCGTGACGGCCGCCTGGGGTCTCGGGCACTGTGGCTGGGAGCAGGGCCCTGGCCCGTGGAGCGTCTGCAGCCTCTCGTGGAGAGGCAGAGCCCGTCCTGTGTGAATGCTGGTGCCAGGCGTGCAGCACACACCTGGCAGCCTAGCATTAGGGAGTTGAGATGGGAGGGTGGCTAGGAGTCGGGGGCAGCCTGGGGTACAACCAGGAAAACCAAAGTAGGGTGACCTCCGTGCGCTCCAGGACCCTCTGGCGCTGTCCTTGGTGCTGAGGCGCTACTGCCCACTGTGCCCACCCAGGCGAGTCCCCAACTCAGTCAGGAGGCAGCTGGAGTGTCCACAGCCCTGGGAACCTGTGCCACCCGTGGCTCTGTGCTCGCCGTCACTGACAGGGGATGTGGGGCAGGGGACACCGGGGCTGGCTCAGACCTGGCCAGGCCTAGAGGGTGGGGACGGGGAGTTCTCGGACCCCTGTGCTGTCCCCACGGTGGGGACTCCATGTAGCCTTGTGGCTCCAGGAGCACCAGGGCAGGTCTTTTCGATAAACCTGGTGCCTTCTACCAGCCTGAGCTTCATGTTTTCTTCTGATGACTTCACAGACGAGGACATGGCATGGGACACACAGGGGTCGTGGTGGGGCCAGGCCAGGAGCAGATTACGCTTGCTTTCTCTCTCTGAGAGAAGGCAGAGTTTCCTTTTCGAAGCCCTTAAGTCTGAGCCCCTCTCCAGCTCTGTGTAGCCCCAACCTTCATCCTCACAGACCTGGCCAAGGGCACTAATCCACGGGGGACGGGGCCCCTTCCTTCTTGGATTGGTTCTCTGTGCACCTGTTTGCTTTCCTGATAAGAGCTGTGCCAGACCTTCAGATGATTTTTCTGACCTCGATGTAAAACCAGCTTCCTTTGTCCGATGCATGGACCGCTGGGTCTGATTTGGGGTCCCGCACAGTTCCTCTGGGTCCTACTCCCGCAGGGGCTCTTTGAGAAGGTCTCCGTCGGGCTGGTCCTAACTGCCTCTCTCCATGCAGGAAGCCGTGATCAGCACCTGGCTGCAGTTCAGCGACGGCTCGGTGACCCCCCTGGACATCTACGACAGCAAGGACTTCTCCCTGGCCGCCACCTCCCTGGATGAGGCTGTCGTGTCCACGCCCCCATCACACTCTCCCTGGTGGCCCATCGTGGTGGCTGAAGGGGAAGGCCAGGGCCCGCTAGTCCGCGTGGACCTGAGCATTGCTGAGTCCTGCCAGAAATCCAAGCGCAAAAGCGTGCTGGCCGTGGGCTTCGGCAACGTCAGGGTCAAGTTCGGACAGAGCGATGCAGATGCCAGCCCTACGGGGGACACTGACAGGGAGGAGGAGGAGGAGATCGAGAACCACACCAGTGACCGCAGGCAGACGGGCCAGGAAGGTCGCCTGCAGAGTGGCTCGGCAGGGGAGCGAGAGGAAGGGGCGCTGGGGAGGGCCACGACCACGGCCAAGGCGCTGCTGGACAACAGGGTGGTGAAGAGCAGCCCGCTGAACGGGGCCCGGCCGCCCGGGGAGGAGCCGCTGCAGACCATCCCCATCGACTTTGCCAACTTCCCCGCACGCGTGGACCTCCCGAGGGCCAGCGCCGGGCTGCAGGACAGCGACCGCCTGGCGCCTGCGGTGCACGGCCTGAGTGACCTGGAGATCGGCATGTACGCCCTGCTGGGTGTCTTCTGCCTGGCCATCCTCGTCTTCCTCATCAACTGCGCCACGTTTGCCCTGAAGTTCCGGCAGAAGCGGGTGCCCCTGGAGGGCCAGGCCGCTGTGACCCACTCGCACGACTGGGTGTGGCTGGGTAATGATGCTGAGCTCCTGGAGAGTTCAGGGGACCCCACACCACCCCAGGACGAGCACACAACTGTCATAGACCACGGCCCCGGGGGCTGCAAGGAGAGTGACCAGCTGCTCGTTGGCAGGGGCAGCGCCCAGCAGCAGGTGCTCGGCCAGGTGCACTGGGCGGTGGACAGGGGCCCCCAGCAGGAGCCGCCGCGCTCACCCGCCTCCAGGAGGAAGAGGGTCAAATTCGCCACCTTCCCCGTCATCCCCCCGGATGGCAGCTGTGCCTCAGCCAGCTCCATCCTGGGGGCCCAGTGAGTGGGGTGTGGAGACCTGGGCATGGGCGTCCTAGAGAACTCAGAGACTGCCTGGGAAGGTTCCCCAGAAGGTGTGGACCCCAGCCGGGCCGGGTCGCGCACCGGCCTGGATGTCACAGGTCCGGAAACCGGGAGGGGGTGCGGTGGCATGGAGGGCTCCCGCAGTGGCGGTGGACAGTTTCCCAAGCCGCCTGCTCTGCTGTGGCCGGGCGGGAATGCAAAGGCGACCTGCACAAGGCAGAATCAGGAAGGCTATTTTACGAATCAGCACCTAATACAGCTACCAAAAATTATCTGTTAAAAAAAAAAAAAAAAAAAAAAAAAAAACAGAAAAAGACCACAAATGATCTGCTTATATTTCTATAAAGGACAACGTATGACAGTAGGGACGGAGTAGAGACATTTTCTGTTGGAGTTCGAGGCCGCTGTTCTGAGGACCCTGTGGCCGCTGACCCGGGGACCCTCCGGATGCCCGAGGCCTCTCGGGGGGACCTAGAGAGACGCTTCCTGTCACCGGATAATCGCTTCTGTCCCCGTGTGGCCTCCCTGTGGCCTCGGCTTCCATCTGGTTTACATTTAATGTTTATTTCTGAGGACCAAGTGGTATATTTTTCCTAAATGAGATATAAATTATATTCTATTCATTAGATGGTTTTTTAAGAAACAATGCCGATTAACCATTCCGTTGTGATCTTAATGTTTTTCTATGTCTTGCCAGCTTTTATGGTATGTGGCGGTTTTTTACAAGGACAGGGAGCAGCCCCACCCCCACCCCAGGGTCACGGTCAGGGTGGGGGGGCCCTTGCTGGACACGGCTGGCCGATGGTGGCCCAGCTCGGCCTCCTGGACACACAGGGCTCCCTCCGTCCCCAGAGGAACCCAGGCAGGGCATAGTCAACTCCAGGAGTGGCAGTGCCCAGGAGCAAGCCGGGTCAGAGGTGTTTTGGGGGGACCTAAGCAGTTTTGCATACTCTGTGGGCTGCAATGCTCCACCACAAGGGCAGAGACGAGTCCAGGTGAGACCGAGTTTGTGAGAGGTGCAACCTCGAGCAGCTTACAGCCGCTGGGCAGTGCTGTGGGGGTGGACAGAGAGAGACACAGGGACCCGGGGGTCCAGCAGGAGGGGCAGAGACGCCAGGGGTGGTCACTGTTTTTACCGTTTTTATTACTAAAATCGGTGGCTGAGAGAAGGTCCTCAGAGCCGTGTAATCGTGGCTGGACCTTTTAAGCAGGTATTTGTAGCACCTGCTCGAGACGCAAAGGAGGTATTTATTTACACCTGTGATGCCTGTTGTCATTAAAATGCTTCCACGGCTCCCCACGCAGTGTGTCTTGGGGTGTCTCTTCCTTCCGGGGTCCCCCTCCCCACCCTGACATGCAATCTGCTGAAGACATAAACTCAGGCTGAGGAGAAAGGTGGCATTTGTTACCACCGTGCCCTGGTGTTGTGCTGGGTCCAGAAGGGGGACCCTGGGTCATGTTCCGGTGGTCACCTGTAGGAGCGCTCAGGACAGGCAGGATGCTGGCCCTGGCACAAGGGTGCCTGATTCCGCTGGACCGAGCAGGGTGCCCGAGCCGCCAGCCCAGCAACTTCCGGGATGCTCTGCTGTCATCTGGTGGGTGCTGGGAAAGAAGGCGGCTGGAGGCCAGCAGGGTCTGTCCCTGGGAAGGGGTGACCGTCACCCTGAGAACATTTGTCCCTGCAGTCCGGCCAGCGTTCAGGGAGAGTGTGGCCCCCCACTGGCAGGGAGCAGTTTTTGGCAGAAGGAAAGAGCTACGGTTTGGTTTGGTTCGCCAACAGTTTTAGTGAGATGTCCACATAAAACTGACCCGCGGACATCAGGCTGATGGCACGTGCCTGTGATCTCAGCACTCTAGGAGGCTGAGGCAGGAGGGTCACATGTGCCAGCTCTGCCTAGAAAACGGAGTGAAACCTTGCCTCAAAATTAAAAAAAATTAAACTGCCTGTGGAAGGTCCTGGGCTCAGGCCCCAGCACTGGGAAAATAAATTAATGAAAGACCCGTGGACAGCATCCAATTCGATGTTTTTCTGACAAGTTGTGCATTTCTGGTCTCTTCCACTGGGAGTGTTTTCATGATCCCGAGGAGAAACCGCTCAGGCCTTCACTGGCCCTGCCATTTCCCCACCCCCACCACCCCAGGGACGGCTCCTTCTCCTGCCTGGGGGGTTCCTGTCGGTACCATTTGGGCCACGCTCCCCAAGGACACCATGCACCAACCGCTGGCCCGTCCTCCGTTAGCCCAAGCCAGGGACCTCTGTGTCCCATAATGACAGAAGGTGTGCATCGGTGACTCGGGCAGGGGAGGGCAGCAGGCCTCCCCTGGTATTGAGGCCCAGCCCTCCACCGCTGTGCCCTTTGGCCTGTGCCACGACCATCGGAGTGCCCAAGCTGAGCCAGAAGGGCCATCCTAGAGTGGCACCATCATGGAGAGGACAGACAGGCATGGAGAGCAGGACTGTGGAGGGGGTAAGGGCAGGAAGCCCAGAGAGGAGAGGAGCCCTGGCCTGCTCGGCCACGGGGAGGAGGAAGAGGGTCCACCGCCCTGACCCCGGGTTTCCAGGCAAGAACACGAGATTCCACTTCCCGGAACCAGGCAATCACGACATGTCGATTTATTTCCCGCAGACCAAAATGCTCTGTCCAGGAGGCGTGTGTGTGTGTGTGTGTGTGTGTGTGTGTGTCCCCTGTCAAAGAGGGCATCTGGGAGAAAGAGTTGCAGGGCTTCGGAATTTCACTGATTTTTATAAAATCCAGCTTGCACCATGAGAGGAAAGCTCGGGTCTCTTAGACTGTGGGGACACGGGAGAGGGCTTGTGTCCCTTTGGGCCCAGAGAGAGGACTCGGTGCTGTGGGGACAGAAAAGCCTGGATGCAGACAGGACAGCTGTGGCAGAGAGGACTGCGTACATTTCTCTAGTCACTCAACAGATGCTCACAGGCGTGAGCAGTGCCTGGGACCAAGATGCCACAGGGGAGAATCGGGGTCCTCTCGTGGGTCCCTCGCTGGGGAGGCGCAGCAGCTCTCAGGGCAGGTGGGGACCGCAGGGTGGGAACAGGTCTCCTGACTATACCCAGATGTCCAGACCTGGCCACAGCTGCCCAGCCTCACCACGCCCGGGTGCTGGACCCCGAGGCTGGACTGTGACTCGCTCTCACCTTTGGCAGCTAAGTGTCTTGTGGTAGCGCCATGCGATCCTCCTGGTGTGCAGGCTCCCCGGGCGGGGTCCAGACCCCCCACCCAAGCTGCAGCCTGTGCACCAGCTTGCAGGGTCCTGGTGAGAGTGCCACCCCAGTTCTCGCCAGGGACACCACCTTGGCAGCTGGACGTCAGTCACGGAGGGGACACTCTGTCAGCCATGTTGGAAAACACTGCTGCATTCACTCTGCAGTTGCCGGGGACAAACTGGGGGACACCGGGAACCCGGCCTCTCCTGGGCGCTCCCTCCAGAGACAGATGAAGATCACACTGCAGAGTCCAAGGCCCCTGCAGGCCCCGGCTCCGAGGCCGTGGCTGCTCCTCCCCACTTCCGTCCACCCCAAGTGTCTCTCTGTGTCCCCTTCACTCCTCCTACAGGGACCCCTGGCCTTGGATTTCAGGGCCACACTAACCCTGTGTGGTTAGTTATCTTCATTAATTACATCTGCAAAGCCTCCATTAGCACGCTCTGAGGTGTGACAGGACACAGACCTGAGAAAGGACACCCTTCACCCCGGCCATGCCCGCCAGGGCTCTGTGACCTGCCCGCCTTCCCCAGGACCAACATGAAATAACTGCACAATAAATCACCTGTCCCCAGACCCTTGTCCCAGGTTCTGCTTAGGGTAGACTTCAGTCCAAGACACAAAACAATCAGCACCGGCCAACTGATCAAGAGAAAGACCAAGAGCCAGGCGTGGTGGTGCACACTGTGATCCCAGCGCTCAGGAGGCTGAGGCAGGAGGATCTCTGTGAGTTTGCAGTCAGCCTGGGCTACGTGGTAAGACTTTGTCTCAAAACATCAAAGAGATCAGAGCAAATGGATGCAACAGGCAGGTGGCCCGTCCATTTCCCGGGAGGACAGACCCCTGTGGAGAGTCCTGGATCAGCAGAGCGCACTCCTGCATGGACTGGGGATTCCCTGGCTCTTTAGCGAACAGCTCTGCTCCCCTGGGTGCTCTCTGAATTCCTACTGGGGGGAGGAAGGGTTTGCTGGTGGGGCAGCTTCATACTGGGAAGATAAAATCAGATTACAGCTGGCCCTGAATTCCCATAAGCCCCGAGGACCAGCAGCAGTGGGGTCAGGCATTTCCCAGTCTGATCGGATTAACACATGAGGCAGGAGAGCTGCAGGGGAGAGGCGGGCAGAGATCAGAAACGGCACAGCACGCACAGCGCCCGACTCACCGCTTACTCTCTGCATGATGACAGAGATGTTTCTAGAATCTTTAGCTTCCTCTCAAATGACTGTGATAAAAGCAAACGGGCTTCCAAATTTTAAAAAAATCTCAAAATACTTAAAAATAGGAAAACTTTTGTCTGGGTGATTTCAATTTCCAAATTCAGGTGGTATAAAAAATAGAATTTTTGTTGTTTTTTTCCTGTCACTGGAAAGATTTTTCCTGAAGATTTTACCTTCAGGAAGGAGAATTGAATTCCAACCAACCCAAAACCTTTCCCCTCTCTCCCCAGGGATGCGCCTGGGCGCCACGGGCTGCAGGAGGCCGTGGCCTTGTGCTGGGAGTGCTGGGCGCCCTGAGGGCAGTACTCAGCTATTCCCTGACCCTCCCAGGCCACTCTGGCTGGGCCTGAGGGGCCCGAGGAGCGGGTTGGGGTGCCCCCACCCATCGTTTTCCATGTGCATCACAACCCACGGCCACCCACCCTCTCCAGGCGTTAGCGAAGTCTTTGATTGGGTTTCGGGGTATGTCTGCCTTCACAGAAACCAAGTTATTACACAAAACGTAACCGCACCTCTCGTGAATATGAGACTCCGAGAATTGAACATTTGTATAAGAAGTGATCACCTGGCTAGTCCTGAACTACGACATTCAGGAGCACCTTTGTGTGGACAGCAAGGAGGTGGCACCGGGCTGGGGCGCCCGTGCCAGCTGGCACTGGACTCTCATGACAGCCGGCACCTAAGGCACCTCAGAATTCCTATTCCCAGTGCTGCCTTTTAGGGAACCAACCAACGCATCTGACGCTATATGGTCTTGACTTAGCATTACTCAAATGCTGATGGTCATGCAGGGCACACCCACTGCCCCTGATCCCACGGGGTGACGTGGAGAATGAAGGCCTTACAGTTTGTGATCATTAGTCTTGGAAACAGCCCAAGAGCCCATCAGCTGACGGACGGATAAAGAAGGTGTGGGGCTTTTTGGACTACTCAGGCATAAAGAAACTAAACTGGAGCCCTTCCAGCTCCAGTGGGTGCACCCGGAGGGGTTGGAGGGAGGGAAGGGGAATGGGGAAAAAAAGAATCAAGAAGATCGTGCACACAGGCCTGGTGGTACGCATCTCTAACCCCAGCGCTTGGGAGGCTGAGGCAGGAGGATCCCTGGTTTTGAGGCCACCCGGGCTACATAGATAAATCAGGTACAGGTACAAACTCCCTGTGATGAATGTGATCATTATGTGTCCCTACAATGTTCTAATAAACTTAATTAATGGAAAATGACAAAGAAGGCAGACCTAGCTCCACCCACCCTTTCTGGAGCTGATCAGGCCAACAGCGGGGGACAGGAGCAGCGGGGGGCGGGGGAGAGCTCGTGGCTCTGTTTTTTCACCCCCCCGGCACCCCACAAGCACCCCGGAAAGCTGTGCCAGCTCCCTCTAACCAGTCTGGTTTAGTCTACTGCTATCTTGGGTGAACCCTTGATAAGAGGTGCTGCTTCCAATAACCCAGAAATCCTGGCAGGGCAGAGACCCTGCCTGTCCTAAGCAGAACTGCATGGGACCAAGGCTCAGATTCCAACCCTTGCATGGCTGCCCGCTGAGAAGGGACTGTGACCCCGTGTGCAAGCTCACATTTCCTGAAGCCATGCTAAAATGTTACGGGAAAAAAAGGCGTGCTGGTTCACTCCTGTAATCCAAGCACTCGGGAGGCTGAGGCAGGTGGATTGTTGCCAGTTCCAGACCAGCCTGGGCTAAAAAACAAGCTCAAGGCCAGCCTGAACTGCATAGTGAGATGCTGTCTCAAAAGGACCAAAAAAAAAAAAAAAAAAGAAAGAAAAAAGAAAAGAAAAGAAATCTGACCTAATGTTTTATTGAATGCAGTGTACCTAAGCTAGCACCCTTTTGACATCTAATTGGTATCAAAATGACTGATTGCATGTTTGCTTTTTCAGGGTCTCCGTGCTGTGTGGCTCAGGCTGAGCTCCTGCTCACAGCGGTCCTGCAGCCTCAGCTGCCCAGCTGCTAGGATGGCAGACAGGTGCCCGCGCCCAGCTGCCTGCTCTGCAGCATTGCCCGAAGCTTCTGAAGTCCAGCACGCAAACTTCTGGGGGTGAATCTCAGCCACACAGCACCCAAAGGCTGTGGAACTTAGGGCTCTGCCCCCCAGGATTCACCACTGTTGTGGAGAGGCTGCCCAGGGCTGAAGGCAGAGGGGGAAGCAGCGGGGGGCACGAATCCCTGCGTGTTAAGGACAGCTGTGTGGGACGGGGCACCCACGGGTCAGGATGGTTTCCACTGTGAGCGCTCTCTGAGGCTGAGGCATGGCCATCTCCAGGGCACAGGGAGGGAGGGCCACCAGCTTCCCGTGAAGCCAGGAGCCGCTGGTGTCCCAGGGACCCCGGTGGCCACCCAGACTCCACCCCAAGCAACTCTGGTGACCAATATGGCCCCCTCCATCTCAGGCCCAGCCCCCACCGCACTGAGGCAGGCTGTGAGGCCCCGCCTGGAGGAGGAGGGGGCTGCCGCTGGGCACGCTGGTCTCTCCCTCTACAACGGGGCATGTGGGGATAGTTCTACTGAGAGGTGGGACACGGCCTGAGCCCAGTCTTCACACTGGAAGCCAGGGCTCAGCGGGTCATGAGATTGGCCACCAGGCGATGGGGTAGGCGGAGGAGGGCGCCTGGCCTCTGACCCATCTTCTGCCCAATACACATCCCCACACAGTACCTCACAAACCTCAAGGGTCTCCATGGTCTCTCACAGGGTCTCTTCCCATGGCCCGGACCCTCAGCAGCAGCTCTGCCTATTGGTTCTGTTCAGAACCCAACATTCAGGCCAGGTGAATTTGATCACTGCACTTCCCACGGCTCCCCACAGCTCCCCAATACTTCATGGTCACAGAGTGGCTGCATGGCTCCCTACATCACAGCTTCCAAGGCAGAGCAAGATGGCCAGGTGGGCAGTGAACTGGAGCCACATTAAGCCTTGAGCCTCTGTGAGTGTGTGTGCATGCGTGTGTGTTGCTGGGATTGAACCCAGGACATTTGCACTGAGCTACATCCCTACTCCTTGTTTAATTTCTAATTTTCAGGCAAGCTCTTGCTAAATCACTAAGTTGGCCAGGCTGGCCTTGAACTTTCGGCCCTCCCGCTCAGCCTCCCCAGGTGCCGAGGTTACAGGTGTGCGCCACCGCTGCTGGCCATGCAGGCCTTTTGTGACTCAACCTCGGGGGTCACTCAGCAGGGGCTCACTGTCCTCTACTCATCAAAGGCCAGCCCAGTCCGACTGGGGAGCAGTCTGTGAGCCCCCAGCTTGGCACCCGCAGAGGCTGGAGCAGGGACACTGTGTGTCCACGAAGGACAAGGTGGTGCGGGGGCCGGAAGGACGCTCCCTGCCGGTATCTGGATTTGAACTTGGAGTGAACGCGTGTTTCAAGGCCCAGGTGAGGTCCTGGGTCTCAGTGGCCAAGGCAGACCCCGCGTGGAGGGCCTTGCTCGAGGAAAGACCCGTCCCTCTTGCTGTCCCAAACCAGGGGCTGCTGGCACCTTCCAAGCAGGGCCTGTGCCACCTCAGGGCCAGCGCTGCAGGGCATTCACGGGCACCCCGATAACGCAGGAGGTTCCTCTTCATGGGGAGCAGTTTAATGAGAAGCAGAAATAGCTCACACAATGGTGAGAGCAGAGAGGAGAGACAGAGACAGAGACAGAGACCGAGACAGAGCCCTCCCGCACCTGCATTCTCGGAGCTGTGTGGCCTGGGCCAGCAGAGCTAACCTTCCTGCCCGGGACCAGCATGAGCGGCACCCGGATTTGCTCCCCAGAGGGGCCGGGAGGGGGCTGCAGGCACCCACCGTGCATGGGAGGGGCAGGGAGAGGAGGGTGCTGAGGAGGAGCAGACAGTGGGACCAGTTCCCCCACTAATCCCCCGCTTCACTTTTTTCTCCACCCACTGACCTGTGCTGACCGGCCCAAGGAAAATGCACAGCATCACTGGACACCGGGGAATCTCAGGAGGCCGCCCAGGAAAGCAGGACCTCGTCTGCTGCCCAAACTGGCGATCTCAGGTGTCTGAGGTCTAACAGTAATCAGCTGGGCACCCGGAAACTTGGCACCTGCTCCAGGTGGTGAAGGAAGCACCCAGACAGAGCTGTGGTTAGAAAGCCAAGAAGCAGAAACATCTGGCGGAAAGGGGCGCAGCCAGGAAACTGTCACTGTCACTGTGAAGCAGCTACACTAGGACACAAGCCGAGCACAGAGACAACCAGGTACCCAGCGCTCTGAACCTGGAAAGGCAAAGGTGGGCTGTGGAGGTGACTCCTGTGATCTCAGCACTCAGGAGGCTGAGGCAGGAGCATTGCCAGGCATCTGAGGCCAGCCCGGGCTGTATGGTGAGTGCAAGGTCACCCCGGACCACAAAGCAAGGCTCTGTCTCAAAAAGGAAACTAACAGAAAGAAACTTTAAAGACAAACACAAAGGCCCATGCCTGTGATCCCGGCAATCGGGAGGCTGAGGCAAGAGAATCTCCCTGAGTTTGGAGCCAGCCAAGTTCAAAGCCAGCCTGAACCATGTAATGAAATCCTGCCTCAAAAGAGACCAAAAACAAACAAACAAAACCACAACCGTATGACTAGAAACTGGAAGACTTTTCCTAAAATCCAGGCAAAAAGACGAGCTCACAAAAGAGAGAACAGATTGGAAAACAGGTTAAAGAAATAAGACAATTTTGAGAACTATCGAGCTGGGGGACTTACATCATGAAAGGCTCACACACTGCCATCTAAAGCACCTTCTCTTAACGCGCTTTGGAGATTCTCACGGGTGGGGTCCCCACGCTGCAGAAGGCACCTGTGTGAGACCTCAGCAACCACGGCAGGCAGACAGCCAAGCCAGCACACGCAAGCAGCCTGCGTCTGTGCCGAGTGGTCTTCCTAGGTTTCCATCCGTACCTGGGGCCGTCACCAGCGCACGCGTGTCTACCTGTGCCAAGTCGTAGATACGCAGCTGCATCCCACTGTGGACCTGCACTGGACTCGGGTCACATCCGCAGCATCCTCACGTGAACTGCAAAAGAAAAATCCTGCAAGTCTTAAGAGAGAACAGACTCCACCTGAAAGCAATTAAGGATCAGATCTGTGTCCAAATTCTGCTCAGCACTCACTGGAACAAGGAAAAAAATTCCTTCTGAATGTTCAGTAAAAATCACCCTGCAAATAGACACCCAAAACAGAGTCACGTAAGACAGACGTGACGGAGAGACGAGCCCCAGGTCCTGCCCTTTTTCAAGACAGGCTGCTTGTGGATGGACGTGACAGTGCAGACCCTAAGGAGAAGCACGCTCAGAGCCCCTGGGAGGCTCCTCTCGGGCCAGCATGAGGAAAGCGCTGGCAGTTCACGGGGCAGCAGGCGCCCACCTCCCCTCTGTGAGCACAGGGAAAGTGATCAGAGATCCATGCAGGAGGCACCGGCCTGGGGCTCTCTCGATGGATGAGATGGGACTCGTGACCCAGGCACGTGCAGCTCTGCTGAGGGGCCTGATGTCAGCGGATGACAGCAGTGGACACAGCCAGCTGCCGACCGTCACTGTCTGATGCCAGCTTGTGCTGGACACTGTAGGCGGCTCTGCTGGGTTCCAGGTACCCGCCGCTGGTCTCTGCTGGCTGTGTGAGCTTTCTGGGGCTCTTCAGCAGTAACAGCTCTGTGTATTCACTGTCAACATTGCTCGGGATCAAATCCCAAGCAGACATGCAGGACTTTGGAGCCCACACCTCCTGAGAAATCACCGCAAGTCTTCCGGGATGCCAAGGAGTCTATTTTGACGGCCTGGCTGCCCCTGGAAACTAGGACAGTCCCTGGGGCAGGTGGCAGAACTGGACGGGCCGCCTGTATGGCAGTGTCCCACTTCAGCAAGGGCGAGGGCAGGAAGCAGGGCATTTTCGGGAAGGCTCGCGGTGCACGCTGGGAGTGCCCTCCTGCTCCTGGCACTCAGGCACACTCCTCTGCATGTCGGGGAGTGGCTGGGGTGGTGGAGGACACCACGCTGCCCACCTGGCTGCACTCACGTTGCAGTGGACACTGGCAATGTGATCCCCGGGGAGGACGCTGAAGCAAACTGTCCCAGCCCATCGGGGTACAAGGGGGAGCAGAGGGGTGCAGGCGGCAGGGTGGACAGCCCCCAGCACCCATGGCCAGCACAGGGACAACAGGGTGACGGGGCTCTGCTCCTGAGTCCGTAGCTGCGGGTTCACAGGGATCTCCCTCTTTTGTGCCCGAGACCCAGTGGCTGTGACTTCGCGGCCGACACAGGCTGTGTTTACTTTAGACTAAAGACTAGAAGCTTCCACTCCAGGACCATGAAGATGGAGAAAATGGTAACCCGCACAATCCCGCGTTCGCCGTGGGTTCCCCCCAGCCGGGTCTGCGCTCCAGCAGAGTCTGTGCTCAGGGCGTCAAGCAGTAAATCCTCCCAAACTTGGTCACCAAACCAAAAGTAAGTTAGCACAAGAAGGGAGGAGGTGGGGTTCCCCAGTGACACGAACACCCCCATCCCATCACCAGGAGGTCACCAGATACAGTGTAACACTGAAGGGTCAGGAAGCTGAGATGGAAAAATGTCATTTAAATGGGTACAGTAACCTGCTGCAGAATTCAAAACAACTGACAGCCATCAACAGTGTAAAGGAAACAGGGTCAGCAGCGGGGGTTAAATAACGCAACATCCCGGAAGCTAAGAACCTGGAGCAAAGGAAATAAAAAGTAAGCCAGGCATGGTGTGCGCTCCTGTAATCCCAGCATTCAGGAGGCTGAGGCAGGAGGGCTGCTGTTGGAGACCACTGAGGCTGAACACACGTGCAGGGCTGTGGCGTGGCCTGGGCCTGATTGAACAGAGAAGGAGGAGACACCTCAGGGGGCAAGACAGGCCACTGCTGAGGTCACTGGAGACTTTCTGGATGGTTTTCCTTAATTAGCATCATCTGTGGTCTGAGGGGTCCTTGAGCCCCGCCCATAGTCCTGCTCAGGTTTCCTCCACTGTCCACTCAGCTCCTTGCTGGTTCTGATTAGGGCTGCCCAGCATCAGTGGGCCGCCGACCAGCAGAGTTAGGAGCTCTGCCGAGGATCTCAATCCTCCTGCAGCCCTGGAGACCATGTCACGTGTCCCCTTCCTTTGAGCCTTCACCATGCACCCATTTTGGGGGCTGGGGGTCCAGGCACAGACCCCAACAGATTGCCTCAAATCCGAGACCAGCCTGAACTACCCCGCAAGATCCTGTCTCAAAAACAGACAGCTGGGCGGGGGACAGATCAGTGGCAAGGGCAGGAGATTGATTCCCGATACAAAAAAAGAAAAAAGAAAAACCACCCAATCGCCCTGGAGCGTCCTGGGGCCACGAGCTACTGTGTCACTTTGCTGAAGGAATTTTCCACGCCTTGCAGCTCCTCCAAAGCTGCAGGAGCTCCAGCCTGAGGTGCGTCTGGGTGACGTCTCAGGTGACCTGGGGATGACAGCGATGACCAGACTCTCCAATGGGAAATAAACACGTGCCCGTGAGCCGTGACCTTGGCCAGGCTGAGGAGCTAGTGTCTGGACCCTGGGAGCCAGGAGCCACACCTCGGCCTCTGCCCCACTGTGGGCAGCACTGTCACATGCAGGAACCAGGACCGCTTGACCCTGCACGGCCACCTCTGGACTCTGTGAAGCCGGGAGGCTGTCATCGAGGGTCTGGGGCAGCGCTGGTGCCGCTGCTGTGTCCGTGGCAACAGTGAGGCCTCCAGGCCAAGGCCACTGCACGCACAGCCAGGTGAGAAGGGAGGGGCTGGGGCAGCCCAGAGACCCTGGGCCTGCTGGACATTGCCTGGTCGCCATGGCAACAACCAGCATCTTTTCAGGAGAAGTCGCACTGGCCTGAGAGCTGCTCTGGGTCAGAGAGGGCCAGAGATGCGTCTGCCTGAGAATCCAGAAAAAAAGAGCGAGAGGCCCCTCCGCACCGGGAGGGCAGGGCCACGGCAGAGCCCACGGCTGACCATCTCCTTCCGCCGGTTGCTTGCACAGGTCGGGGAGCGCTGAGCACCCCCAGCCCCGCAGTTGCACAGAGGAGGCCCAGGCTCAACTCAGACCTCACCCTGACCAGACACTGTCTCCCATTCACACCGGAGCATCTGTGTGATGGTCATAGCAGCGTGACTGACCAGGGCCGGGAGGCACAGGCAGAGCCTCCCTGCAGGCAGCAGATTTACCGCCTGTCATGATGTGAGGACACCTGCAGGCCCGAGGGGTGCCCAGCGATGTCCACAGGGTCAGGGCCAGACATCACCAAAGGCCCTGGAGCAGCCGGCCCTGGGACCTGCTGAGCTGCAGACCTAGCCATGGCTCGTTGCCCCGTCCCGATGGAGGCCGAGGAAGGTGGGGTAAGCCTGGAGTCAGGGTCCCAGCGGCGATGGGGAGGACTGGGGCCACCCGGGAGCACTGCCCCCGGTGTGCCTGCCTCTGCCTTCCCATCCTTGGGGCCTTTGGGTCAGTGCCACTCACACCCAGGGCAGGGTCCTGTCCCATGAGTCCTGTCAGCCCCGCCAGAACTGCTGACCTGGGTCAGCTGGGTGTTTCTTACTCAGGCTGAGGGCATGAACTATGTGGTCCACTGCGTGTCCGCTGGACAGTGACGCTTCCTCAGTCTCTGCACACAGAGTGTGCAATTCTGCCAACCACAGTGCAAACGCCTGATCCCAGCCCCAGTGACCTGAGCATTTCACCAGATCAAGGAAGCGGATTGGGGAGAACTGTGGCGGTTCCTATCCTCCTTTCCATATCTGATCACTGGAGGTAGCTGGTGTTTGTCCATGGGTGGAGAAATGATAAATCAACTAAACGTGCCCATGGAACACTATGCAGCTGTGAAAAGGAGCAGATTCTGACAGAGGCTACAAGGATGAGCGTGCCAACATCGCGGTGAGTGACGGAGACAGCAGTAGCGGAGGGGACACAGATTGTGTGACTCTGACATACCCGCAGCAGGCAAACTCAGCCGTGTAGCCAGACGGCACACGGTTTCTCCATGCGAGAGGCCGGACAGGGTTCTATAACTGGCCTCGCGGTGGCTGAGTCACTGACTGACCAAATCACTGACTTGCAGGAATCTAACAAATCAGAGCTGAGCAGGTTCAGATCATCGAGTCCGCGTGTCCTTCAGCAGATCGAGGGCCGGAGCCTTCACCCGCTTAGCTCGGTTGTGGACCAGGAGGGTTTTCCCAGGAGGCAGACCTCCGAGTGACTGTCACTCAGTTTTATGGGTCCAGCGTGCAGCACGTGTGGCTCAGGCTCCGCGTGCGCGTGCGCAGTGATCTGTGCACAACTCGGCTTCATCCCCTGCCGTCTCCTCCATCGCCTCCTCCTCCTCTCACTCTCCTTCGCATGTAAGGAAGATCCACCCCCACCTCCCGCAATCTTCTGTGTGCTCTTTTTTATGCCGGGGCTTCTCCTTTGTGAGAAGCCATACAGCATCTGAGCTTCCATGCCACGTTTACTTTCCTTAACGATATGGTCTCCAGGCGCATCCATTTCCCTGCAAACAACTCATTTGTCCTTCTTCACGGCAGAGTAGTACCCCACTGTCTAATGCCACATATTCTTCATCCATTCATGCGTGGGTGGGCATGCAGGCTGTGTCCAAGGGTTAGCTGTTATGAATTTTGCTGCTGTAAATGTGGGTGTGCCTGGGTCACTGTCACGAGACATCTTTAACTCTTTAGGAAGATATCTAAGAAAGGAAGAGCCCCCTCAGATGGAAATTCCAGGTTCAGCTTTCTGAGGCGCCCACACAGATTTCCACGGTGCTTGCACGTGTCCACACACCCACCAGCAGTGCAGAGGCCCCCTGCTCCCTGCGGCCTCGCCAGCATTTGTTAATATTTGATTTTGTGATGTTGGTGGGTTCTCGGTGCTGCTGTGATCTGCTGTTCTGTAATGGCCGGAGGTAAGGAGCGTTTCTCCAGGTACCCGTGGGCATTTGCACAGCTTCAGGGAAGCATCTTTTTTCTCCGCTGCCCGTGCTTTGGCTGGATCTTTCACC